AATGTTGTTATTATTTTATATTATACTTGTTCTGGATTCATTGTTTAACCAAAACTATTATTAAACATTTATTTTACATGTACTTTTACTAGTGGCAAGAAAAATAGTGACCCTGAACTGACTCAAGCCGCCACTCCCACCAACGACTGTTCAATGGACACAAAAATTAAAATATGTGTATCAAATGGAGTGTCTGACTGCCCAACTTCAACTCAAAATGGATATTTTTCTAAGGTGACGGTCGCATGTACCATCTTTATTTGACTGAGTTTTTTTATTTTTATTTGTGTGACTCACCTGACTACTGTTTTATTTACATATAATTGGAGTTAAGAGTCCAATCTCCATCCATCCAATTTCTTCTGCTTATCCGGGGCCGAGTCGTGGGGGCAGCAGTCTAAGCAGGGACTCCCAGACTTCCTTCACCCCAGACACGTCCTCCAGTTCCTCCGGGGGGACACTGAGGCGTTTCCAGGCCAGTCCAGAGACATAGTCCTGGGTCTTCCCCGGGGCCTCCTCCTGGTGGGACATGCCCAGAACACCTCTCCAGGGAGGTGCCCTGGAGGCATTCAGAACAGATGCCCGAGCCTCAACTGGCTCCTCTCGACGTGGAGGAGCAGTGGCTCTACTCCGAGCTCCTCCAGTGTGACTGAGCACCTCACCCTGTCTCTAAGGGAGCACCCAGCCACCCTGCGGAGGAAACTCATTTCGAGCGCTTGTGTCCACGATCTTGTCCTTTTGGTCATTACCCAGAGCTCATGATCATAGGTGAGAGTAGGAACGAAGATCCTCACCTATGATCCAATCTTGACACTTGTTATTGTTTGTTCCAGTGTAAATTGCCTGTTATTTTGTAATTTTGGCAATAAAGTTCTAAAAATATATATATTTATTTTGATAGGAAAAGGTTCAACATTACACATCTTGAAAGAAGAGAAAAGATTGTTGAAATTTTTCAATATTTCGTTTGGCCCACGACTTAGTCCCAGTTTTAAATTTTGTGAATTTGTGAATTTGAGTTAGACATCCCTGGTTTAATATAAAGTTGTCGTAAAGTTCACAAATGAACGTTTCACTTAATAACACAATCTGTAAACATGCAGACATTTTAGTCTTTACTTTTAGACAAATCTGATGTGACACTGTGGGCAATCCATGTACAGTCTATGGGACGATCAGGAAAATAATGAGGCAAAATATCAGATAAAATCAATACTGATACTGATACTGATACTGATACTGATACTGAAACCCTCCCATATCTATGATTCCAATACTGGAGTCGATACATCCCCAATAATGATTTAAATTTTCAACAAAGTGTCAAATGTTAAAGTTGTTAACATTATTTTCAGTATTTTTGTATAATCAAATTTATGTTTAAAAACGTTTTCTTCTATTTTTGAGAAATTAAAGCAACATTTATTCAAAAGTAAAGTATAGTTAAAAACGTGTTGTGCTGTCTGCGTGTTAGAACCTTTATTTAGAGAAATGAACCTTTACAATACAGTTTTTTTTATTGATTTACATTTGCAGACTGTTTGACCCTGAAACAGCAGCATCAGGACATGGCCGGGATAATTTATTTTATTTGTATTTATTAATTTAAAACAAGGACAGTGCACAGAAAACATTAACCTCGGAAAGAAAAGACGCTCGGTGCCAGATTTATGTACGAGCTCTTTTCCATCTGTGCTCCTCGGGCAGGTACAAAATATATTAAAGGAACTATTTACGATTCAGACCAACTCTAACAATAACCACTATCCAGTTCATCATTAAACATTCAAAACAATTCTAATTTCCATCAATACAAGATTTAAAATTCATCATTATCTTCTAAAAATGTTATTGTCATCCTCTAAAAAGTACATCACATAAAACTACACTTTAAGAACATGTCCTGAAATAAGGAAAACAGCACAATTATAGTTCTGAAAATCCCAGTCTCTACTGAACTAAACGTAACATTTAACCGTTAACTTGAAAACAACCACTTCATGACATCACAAGGTGGAACAGAGCGTTTTGAGCTTTGGACATGTAGACAGACTGATAATAAAGACTCAAACATGTGTGAATGAAACAAAACACAACTCCAGGTCGGTTTTTGATGAGTTAACGATGATGGAGAAAAATAATTCCAAATCGAAATTGAATCATCTCTAAAGAAATAATTGACACTGAATTTGGAATTTTTCATACTGTTAATTAATGAAATCCATAAATGACAGGCTACAAACAAGGGACAATATGAAAAAAGTAAAAGGCAAAGAAATTTTACTTTTTAATGTTGAAATGTATGCCAACAACTTTTCATAAAAAAAAAATCTAATATGTACCGTATTTTTCGGACTATAAGTCGCACCAGCCAAAAAATGTGTAATGAAGAAGAAGAAAACATGTAAGTCGCACTTTTTTGGGGGAAATTTATTTTATAAAATCAGAGACCAGGAACTGACATTTCATCTTGAAAGTCAAGTTGTAGTAAAAACAACAGAACAGAGAAGGGACCAGGTCTAATCCAGGACTAAACCAGGATTGAAATAGTGTCATTACTATATTATAATGTCACATATGAACAGTTCTTCAGATAAACTATAACATAAACAACAGAACAGAACAAGTTTAACAAACTCTCCATCTCACTCCAAATCACTAAATCCATTCAGTTCTTCATCCTCGGTGTCACTTCTGAGCAACTCCACGACCTCCGGAGGTAAACAGAGCGACCGCTTCCTCTTCTGTGTCGCTGTCGTCAGACTCAGCATCAGTTCCAGTTAGAATTATTCTGGTCTTTCTGATGGATCCCGACAGGATGGTTTCGGTGTCTCTAAAGTCCAGGCTTTGTCCATCCATCCAGTGACTTCAGGAAAGTTTCATGGTTCATCCTCCCAGTGTCACAAGTTTCTCACTCAGGCTCCTGGATTTTTCTCTTTGTGGGTTGAAAAAAATTTGCGTCCACACACGTGTCGGATCAATAAATATTCACGTCCAGACGACAACAGAGCACTGAGTGAAAACGATGTAATACATCTGCCACACCTGTATGTGGCGCTGTAACAATGCCCAGAAATATAGTCGTTTTGTTTTGCAAAAGTTTAACATAAGTCACAGAACAAACCAATATATTCCACTGAGTCGTGTCCTTTAGTCTGACAGAAGCTGAACCACATCGGTGCACAATAGTGAGCTGTTTTTTGAGCGCTTAGTTTATGCAAATTAGCCATGTGGTTTTAAGTTTAATTTCTGTAAAACGTAAACAAATATGCTCAAAGCTGTGTGGATAGGGAAGACTTGCAAACACAGAAACGATGTGTGTGGACGCAGATCGTTTCTGATACGGTGATACGTGGATTTGTTTCAGTGTAAACATAATCTTTGTTATTGATCCATGTGTTTAATCTGTGGTGCGTGTTGTTAGTATTGGCACTAGCAGCGTGTCTCTGTTGCAGGGCGACCGGAGCGGCTCCGTAGGATAAACCTGTCACATTTTGGCAACGCTCTTGTGGTCTGTGGAGGCCAGTTCAAGGGCTGCAGGCTTCGCTGCGTCAGAGGACCCTGGGATCATGACATCATCATTTTCCAAAAGCTGCGGTTTGTCCACACGAAAACGCGACACTGGTGTTCTCAGATTTCTCCACTCTGGAACCCGTTCTCAAAACCTCAGTTTTCACCCACACGAAACGCCGGCTCCATGTGGACGAAAGACAAAAACGAATAAAAACTTCACCAAAAAATGTTGTCATGAGGACGGCCCTTCACTCCTGCTCGATTACCCTTTTCAGCTGAATATTTCACGACTTGGCGTTTGTAATCTGCAAAATCTGATTTTCTTTTTTGGGGGCATTTGTGTTCAATCTTCTCAGTCGTCTTTATAAGTTTGTTTAAATGTTAAAATTGTTCAGTGGTGCAGAAGTAATGGTGCGATCGACTGACATGATACAGACAGGACAGAGGCTCTTTCTGCAGGAGACATGCGCAGTAGAGCCAAGTGACAGTGGTACAGGAGGAACAGGAGCAGCAGATACTGACACACAAGACTAGAACCTCTCACCGCTTCAGTGTGAACATTTTAATACATAAATCGCACCAGAAACACCCAAACCATGAAAAAAGCGCGATTTATAGTCCGAAAAATACGATAAACTCTTTTTAATCCACGTAGACGACAATACATAATAAATCATAAACAGTGTTGGGGAGTAACAGATTACATGTACCAGAGTTATGTAATCAGAGTACAAATTATGAGTAACTGTATTCAGTTACAGTTACTGTTTCAGTGAGTGGTAATTGGATTACAGTTACTTTGTTGAAATAAATGGATTACACGGAGGTATTATCCTGTTTTCACATTTTGGGATAAACCAGGATTAAAACCAGGACTAAACCAGAACTAAACCAGGTCTAAACCGGGATTAAACCAGGACTAAATCAGGTCTAAACCAGGTCTAAACCAGGACTAAATCAGGTCTAAACCAGGACTAAACCAGGACTTAAACCAGGATCTAAACCAGGACTAAACCAGGACTAAACCAGGACTAAACCAAGACTAAACCAGGTCTAAACCAGGATTAAACCAGGTCTAAACCAGGACTAAACCAGGACTAAATCAGGTCTAAACCAGGACTAAATCAGGTCTAAACCAGGACTAAACCAGGACTAAACCAGGTCTAAATCAGGTCTAAACCAGGACTAAACCAGGACTAAACCAGGTCTAAACCAGGATTAAACCAGGTCTAATTTGGTTCAGTAAAGTCTGGGCTTTTTTATTTTCTTTTATCAGACAAAACATCTTATGTGAAGATTTCCTCGTCTTTGTTTCTCTACAGCAAATCAAGTAATCCAAAGTATTCAGATTACATTACTCACTTTATGTAATTTAATGGATTCCGTTACAAACTACATTTTGGGGTATGTAATCTGTAATCTGTAGGGGATTACATTTTAAAAGTCACCTTCCCAACACTGATAAACATAAATAAATATTCTCTTACCGAACAAACTGTTGCTGAATCCGTCCCAGATGCACGTCGCTTGGCTCCATATCCAACCTCCTTTTACGCACGCGAAGAACGTGAAGTTTATCCCCGTGACCGAGACGAGAAAATCGCTCAGGCTGATGTTGACGAGGAGCAGGTTGGTGGGCGTGCGCAGCCGCTTGAACTTCAGATACAAAACTATCACCACGACGTTGTTGCAGAAGCCGAACACGCCGATGGTCCCGATGGTCAGCGCTAAAACTTTGTACGTCCCCTGCGTAAAAAGTGAACTGGCGCCGCTTCTGTCCGCTCTGGTGTCGTTCAGCGGATTCATGTCGTGCGTAAAAAGTTGGTTTGGAGCATCGTGGAGGAGAGGAGGATCATCCGCGCGGAGGAGAGAAGAAGAGGAGGAGGAGGAGGAGCGGAGAGGCGGCCGCGTCTGAGCGCTTCATGTGCGGACACGAGAGGAGAGGAGAGTCGCTCCGTGCGCAGTGAAGAAGAAGAGAGGGGAAAAAAAGAAGAGAGGGAGGAGAAAGAGAAAGAGGGAGGGAGGGGGAGAGATAAACAGATAAACAGAGGGAAGGGAGAGCGAGGAAGGAAGAGAGAGAGAGATAGAGCAATTAGAGCGAGGGAGAGAGAGAGAGAGAAAAAGAGCAAGGGAGTGAGGGAATGAATGAAAGAGAGAGAGAGAGATAGAGCAAGGGAGTGAGTTAGAGAAAGAAAGAGAGAGAGAGAGAGAGAAAAAGAGCAAGGGAGTGAGGGAATGAAAGAGAGAGAGAGAGAGAGAGAGAGAGATAGAGCAAGGGAGTGAGTTAGAGAAAGAAAGAGAGAGAAGAGAGAGAGAGAGAAAAAGAGCAAGGGAGTGAGGGAATGAATGAAAGAGAGAGAGAGAGAAAGGGAGACAGCCAGAGCACTGGAGTGAGGAAGAAAGAGAGAGAGAGAGAGAGAGAGAGAGAGAGAGAGAGAGAGAGAGAGAGAGGGAGTGAGGGAGAGAAAGAGAGAGCTACAGCAAAGAGGAGAGGCGGAGAAAGAGAGAGAGAAAGGGAGACAGCCAGAGCACTGGAGTGAGGGAGAAAAAAAGAGAGAGAGAGAGAGAGAGAGAGCAAGGGAGTGAGAGGGGGGGGTGAGATAGAAAAAGAGAGTTAGAACAAGGGAGAGAGAGAGAGAGAGAGAGAGAGAGCGAGAGATAGACAAGGGAGTGAAAGAGAGAGAGAGCTACAGCAAAGGACAGAGGGAGAGAAAGAGAGAGAGAAAGGGAGACAGCTAGAGCACTGGAATGAGGGAGAAAGAGAGAGGGAGAGAGAGAGAGGGAATGAAGGAGAGAAAGAGAGAGAGAGGGAATGTGAGGGAGAAAAAGAGAGAGAACGAGAGATAGACAAGGGAGTGAGGGAGTGAAAGAGAGAAAGAGCTACAAGCAAAGGACAGAGGGAGAGAAAGAGAGAGAGAAAGGGAGTGAGGGAGAAAGAGAGAGAGAGGGAATGAAAGAGAGCAAGAGAGAGGGAGTGAGGGAGAAAAAGAGAGAGAGAAAGGAAGTGAGGGAGAGAAAGAGAGAGAGAGAAAGGGAGACAGCCAGAGCACTGGAGTGAGGGAGAAAAAGAGAGAGAGAGAGAGCAAGGGAGTGAGAGAAAGAGGGGGGGATGTGAGATAGAAAAAGAGAGTTAGAACAAGGGAGAGAGAGAGAAAGAGCAGGGGATTGAGGGAGAGAGAGAGTGAGAGAGAAAATAAATGAGAGATAGACAAGGGAGAGAGGGAGAGAAACAAAGAGAGAGAAAAAGGGAGACAGCTAGAGCACGGGAGTGAGGGAGAAAAAAAGAGGGAGATAGAGCGAGGGAGTCAGGAAGAGAAAGAGAGAGAGAGAGATAGAGTTAGAGCGAGGAAATGTGGGAAAGAAAGAGAGAGCGAGAGAGAGGGAGTGAGGGAGAAAAAGAGAGAGAGGGGGAATGTGGGAGAGAAAGAGAGAGAGGGGGAATGTGGGAGAGAAAGAGAGAGAGAGAGTGAGGGAGAAAAAGAGAGAGGGAGATAGAACAAGGGAGTGTGAGAGAAAGAGAGAGATAGAGTTAGAGCAAGGGAATGAGGGAGAGAAAGAGAGAGAGAGAGAGAGAGAGAGAGAGAGAGAGGGAGTGAGGGTGAAAAAGAGAGAGCTACAGCAAAGAAGCGAGGCGGAGAAGGAGAGAGAGAATGGGAGACAGCCAGAGCACTGGAGTGAGGGAGAAAAAGAGAGAGCAAGGGAGTGAGAGAAGAGAGAGAGATAGAGTTAGAGTGAGGGAATGAGGGAGAGAAAGAGAGCTAGAGCAAGGGAGTGAGGGAGAGAAAGGGAGTGAGAGAGAGAGAGAGAAAGAGAGAGATAGAAAGCCAGGGAGTGAGAGAAAGAGAGCGAGAGAGTTAGAGCGAGAGAATGAGGGAGAGAAAGATAGAGAGATAGAGTGAGGGAGGGAAGGAGAGAAAGAGAGACACAGCAAGGGAGTGAGGGAGAAAAAGAAAGAGAGAGAGATTGAGGGAGAGAGAGAGAGAGAGTTAGAAGAAGTGAGTGAGACAGAAAGAGAGAGTTAAAGCAAGGGAGAGAGAGAGAGCTAGAGCAAGGGAGTGAGGGAGAGAGAGAAAGACAGTAAGAGAGTGAGGGAGAGAACGAGAGATAGAGCAAGGGAAGGAGAGAGAGAAAGAGAGAGATGGAGACAAAGAGAGAGATATAGAGTTAAAGCAAGGGAATAAAGGAGAGAAAGAGAGAGATGGATAGAGCTAGAGCAGTAGAGCAAGGGAATGAGAGAGAGAGAGAGAGAGACAGAGAGAGAAAGAGAGAGAGTGACTTCGAGGGAAGGGATGAGATGGGGAGAGCGAGGAGGGAAGAGAAAGAGAAGAGAGATAAAGCAAAGGAGTGAGAGAGATAGAGCCGGAGCGAGGGGGTGGGAAAGAGAGGTAGAGCTGGAGCGAAGGAGGGAGAGGGGGAGAGAGAGAGAGAGCGCTAGAGCGAAGGAGGAAAGGAGCGAGAGAGAGGGAAAGCAAAGGAGTGAGGGAGAGAGAAAGAGGAGAGATGCAGGCACGGGAGGAGAGAGATGGAGAGAGAGGACAAGAGAAAGAGAGGAGGAGGAAGGGAGAGATGTGAGAAGTGAGTCTGTGGTGTGAAGATTCCTGTCACCTCTAAATGATTCTAATATTTATTCAGATTGTTCATTACGATCTCAATTATATCTCCACGATTTGGTTCATATTGTGAATAAAACGTCATTATTTGAACGATTTAAGGTCACATCTGTATTGAAAAGGTCATATTACCTCATTTTAAAAGACGTTCGGTTTTATTTTACTTTAGATAAAAAAACGTGTACTGTTATTAAGTTGCGTCGGCGTGAGTCTGGTCCCCCTTTTTTCAGATGGGGGTGATTGACAGGTGGATTAGCCAATCACGGTCCATCAGTATCAAAACAAATAAGTCGGCTTAAGAGGAGAAAAGAAAAGACAAACATACCACAGGGACTGAAAAACAGAGCGGGTTTCTGTAGAATCATGTGGCTGGCTCACGGAATACTGTTTCCAAACAAACTTTCTGTGTAAGTTAATCACCCTGAAATACCAAATAATAGCCGGGTTTCGATTAACTGCTGGGTTCCCCTTAAAGGGACAGTTCAGAATTTTGGACATAGGACCTGATTTCCTCGTGAGCCTGAGTGTTGGAGACGTGCGGAGACACTTTTTTAAATATTCCATCCAGTTCTTGTATTTGCAGAGGTGCTGGTGTTAGACTAGTGCAGGTCAATGGTCATAGTTTATCCTGACACTAAAAACAGTCTTACCCACTCCACAAAACACCTGAAGAAAATCTGTTATTACTCCAGACTGTCCATGTGAATTGTGTTATCACTGTGTTCAGGTGTGTGGTTTGTTTTCTTTCTGCATGTACATGTGTCCTGCTGCGTGAGCTTCTGCCGTGGACTGGAGGAGTGTCTCTTCTGTCTGTCATGCCACATGTGACTCTGTGACTCCGTGTGCTGAAACACAGACTCTGTTTTGGCTAGATTAACATTTGTTTGAATAGTTTGTAAGTTTTTGAGATCATTCATTCATGTGGCCAAACCGGCGTGTCAAAGCCTGATCCCGTCAGATCTCAGACGCTCAGCAGGGCCTGGTTAGTACTTGGATGGGAGACACTGGAAAAATGTGGTGCCACAGGGAGGCACAAGTCACAAAAAGTGATGTGTGAGTGATGGTGGTGGTCAGCAGGTCCGATGGTGCAGATTGGCAGTTGAACTTCAGTGACCACCTCCGGATATGGAGTGACAGAATAATGCTCTGTGAAGTGTCTTTGTGACAAATGTCTTTGAAAGGTGCTATATAAATAAAAACTTAATTACTAGACCTGACCTGACGAAGATCCACTGATCAAAATGTTAAAGGCAGTTGGGGAGTAAGTGTGCAGGCTCCGTCTCACTTTCTATAATCTTAATGTTAGCCCTTTAAATAGCCCTTTGTTTTACCAACTTTGATTATATTTGCTAATTTACATTTCTTTTTAGTTGTTTCAGTCATGAAAGATGAATACAAAATAATGTTCATGCATCAATGTGAATAAAAAGAAGGAAAAAGTGGTTCAGACTTGTAATATCTGCTCCTTCTCACTCAAAATAAAACATTTCTAACACTTCAACACTTCCATCTACATTTATAACCAACTTATTTACATGACATACCCAATATTAAGTACATGTTAATTAACACAAAAGCACAGTTCATACTTGATACTTTTTTTTTTTTTTAGCATATCATGTTTGACTTTTTCTTTTAAACACTTGAATAAAAACAAAAATAGTAGTTGGGGATTTGTCGGGGAAGAACATTTGTAGAGACTTGTCTGCTTTTCGATCTCAGTTGTGTTCACAGCTAAATGTCACCGTGTGGAAATGTGAGTCTGACCTGGTTTTTGGAGCCCTCAGGTTCAACCAAAATAGAAGTAAGCAAAGCACACTCTGAATTGGACAAAATAAGCTTGTTTTTTGGGGGAAATCTGAGAGCTGTGGCCATCATGTTCTCCAGTCAAACAAATGAAAATGAGATGTTTTAGTTTTGTTTTTCTGTTTGATATTTTGGTGTTAATCCAAAGTTTATTTCCAGAAAGGTGCACAAAGCAGTTCATCGTATGGTAGTCAAGAAATCTGTGCGGCTGAATCCTTCTAGACAAGCAGCAGACGCCACCAGGCCAAGTGACAGGTCGGCTCTGTGGAGAGATGAGCCCACTCACCACAACAATGTCTGTTTCACGAGCTATTTTTGAACAATAAAAACCCCTGACAGCTGAAGAAATGAAAAGTAGATGTTTAAAGACGCAGGGTGTAATGCTTCAGGTGTTTGACATCTGCTTGTTTCCATGGA